CCCGCCCCCCCGCTTTTTGGTGTATTTTGAAAATTTGAGGGGTGTCACGTTCGGGCTGTGACGGGGGTGAGCGTGGTGAGTAGCTCTGCATACAATTACCAGGACAGAATATTCGTGCCCGTTTTTCTTGTGTTGATGTGAGGTGGGATAAATGAGCTTAATTCGAATGCCAAACGAATTGAACGCACATGTTCTCGTGCACCTGTCGGAATCCCCGTGAACCTCCAAGATATTCCTGAAGGACAGACGAAAGAAACTCTCGCAGAAGAACCAAGACACATGGAACCACGTTTCCGAATGTCTCTTGCCAAACTTTTTTTTCAATTTATTTATGTTTATTCATTTGTGACACCCGAAGTGCAAGTCCGCCCTGCTCCGCGAGACTGACAACAACCATGACGAACTCGTGTTCCTATTTTTTTTGCACAACGAAGGTGTTACGGAATGTTGACCCAACCCTTCACCATTAGCAGCAGCACGTGAACAACCAGCCTTTCCAGCATACACAGGGACACACCAACGCCCGCCCCGTCAACACACACGTGCGCCGTTTATGTTTCAGACCTGGCTGATACTCGGTTGGTGTCGAGTATGCTGCAACTACCCTAGCCCGTTCGCCCATTGGGAAATCGAGCCAGCACATTCGCCCGCCGGTCTCGGCTTCATCAAAACAGACAACATAGCTACCTTGCCCCGCGTGCGTCGCCGATGGCACGTGCGTCACACACTACATCGAAAAAGCGGCAAGTACAGCTGCGGGCAGCGGCTGGTCGTCAGGCCAGACCGCGCAGCAGGCCTGGGTGAAGCACTCCTGCCTCCTCAGCTGAACCCCACGGCCTCGCGCGTTGAGCGCCGTACCCGCGTCGTAGCAGGCCTGCACGCGTCAAGGGCATCGGTGTGAATGCGACAACATGGTAGGTGGTGCTGTTTATGCCTGTCCATATAGATTCTCGACAACGAGAATTTGTCCCTCGGAAGATCAGGTCACGCCGCGAGGTGTTTGATGTCGTCCGACTAAAATTTAGTGGAACAAAGCACCAGCAATTTTGGTACTGCTGTAGCGCGTTTGATGACAGGCTGTCAACATGTCGACCCAGACGACAACAACACCCCCTCCAGAACTATGTATACACATGTAACTGATCCGCCAACACGCCCGTCGGCGTACTTCCCGCACAAATAAGCTTTCATCACAAGCTTCTTTGCCTGCTGACAGCAGCAGGACACCAAC